GGTGTCTTCCTGCATGGCAGAATGGGGTTGGACTGGATGACCCTTGGGATCTCTCCCAACTCAGTGATTCTAGGATTTCTTAAGACCTGGAAGGCTGCATGATTCCCACCCCTGCCTTCAAGCCAAATGGGATTTGTTGGGAAGGAGACGGTCAGATGTGTGTGTGTCCAGCCTTTCTTCCCCTGCCCAAAGGCCACCTGAAGGGCCTGCTCTGTCCTGAGCCCCACAGCATCATACTGCGGCAGCGATGGCTGACATACTCAGCACAGGAGGCCGCCATGGAAACGCAATCAGGATCCAGAGGGCTGTGGCTTATTTGCATGTTTGATCTGCACGTTGCTCACCCTCTTTGCATACAATTTGCATGAATGAGCTGGACACCCGGGCCTGGCTTTTGAATACACATGCTGCCTTTGCTAGTCTCCTTCCCAGAATGGAAACTGTTTTTTAAATTTTAATTTATTTTTTTTAAAAAAAAGACAACTTCTTAAGTTGCTGGCTAGTGTTGAAAAAAGACCTTTCACTTTCTCATGCCCATGTAGGCATGCCAAGACTTTGCCCTTTCTCAGGAGGATGGTAGAGGTTCATGCCTTCCTAGTGCCCGCTTTCCAGCTGGCCTCTGTAGCCATGCCTACCGGAGGACTCTGGTGCCAAGGCATCCTGAGTGGGGCACAATGATTGTTTCCACCTAACCGTCCTCACCTCTTAAAGGTGCCATGGCAAAGGTGCCACGTTCTTGTAAATGTTGGTCAGTAGGCCTATGAATGGATGAATACCAAAATGAAGCCTCCATCTAGCTTATTTTACCTCAGTTTATCTCAGAATACCAAGGGCAGACATCCCAGATTCCTTCCTCGCCTTCCTTTTGTGTTAATTCCCTTTTCCCTTGCCACGTAAGTATCTAAAATGGGGGCGCCTTCTGGAGAGCCATGAAAACAGCCCCATTTGGCCCAGGGGCTCCACCTTCCTCAGCCCTGTATTAGATGGTAAACCCATGAGCGGAGGCTGTTTTGTTCTGTGTTCGCTGGTGCTGAGATGTGAGGAGCTTACTAAATATTCCACGGCACTTGAGTGGCTACTTTAGCTGTGGATCCCTGCACCAACGGGGGTTGGACTAGGTGATCTTGAGGATTCCTTCTGCCCCATGGCTCCTTAACCAAGGCACCCATGGGGACACTCACTCCTTGGGGCAACCTGCTGGGCTGTTGTCTCCCTTTTCTCCCTCCTTGGAAAGGAAGCAGGGAGTGCTGGGAAGAGGGAACATTTGCATATTCTCTTTATGCAAATAAGCTTTGGGCTCTTCCTCCCCCCCCTTCCCTGAAGCCAAAGGTCAATTTGCATGAGCATCATGCAAATTGATTCAAAGCCATGCCAGGCTCAGTTGAATTTGGAGAGAGGAGTAAACTTGACTTCTTGCTTTCTTTGTCTTTCCTCTGCCCCAGCTGCTGTGGATGGAAGCCTCGTCTTGGCGCTCCCCTCTCCGGTGGAAGGGCTGCCTGCCAAGGGGGCAAGGTGCCACCCCAAGCACCCCAGGGACTGACCACCAGCCACTCGGAGAAGCCCGGGCCTGTCCAGGAGAGCGACATGGCTGAAGCTGCCGGGGCTCTTCCTCGGGTAGGTGCCAGCCTGGAAAGGGCCAGCCTGGCCTCTCTTTTGGGGTGGTTTCATCATGCCCTCTGCAGCTTGGCATGAAGATGCAAGAAGGAAATTGTTGCAAGTGAGCCTCTCCCTTTTCTTCAGGAGCAGTGGGTGGGCATTTAGCATGAAACTACGTATGTTTGAAAAGTCTCATAACCAGTGGGGACTCTGTTGTTACTCTACTGGCGCAATGGAGCACATTTTCTAGTCGCTATGAAGAGTAACTTTTCAAAGGTAGAGCTAGGCACGGTTGGACAGGTAAGTTTTTCAAGCTTTATGAGAGCCAGCGTGGCATAGTGGTTTGAGTGTAGGACTAAGACTCCAGAGTCCAGGGTTCGAGTCCCTGACTGGCTGTGGAAAGCCACTGAGTGACCTTGGGGAAATCACACACTCTCAGCCCCAGAAAACCCCTTGCTAGGGGACCCTAGGGTTGCCATAAGACTGGGACACCAATATCAACCATTTTGAGAAGGTCGTCTGTAGGCAGAGCGAAAGTGTGTAAGGCGACGGTGGTTTGACATTTGCTTTTCTTTCAGGATCCGGTGACTTTTGAAGAAGTGGCCATTTACTTTACCCCAGAGGAGTGGGAAGAGTTGGCTGAGTGGCAAAAGGCGCTCTACAAAGATGTGATGAGAGACAACTATGAGATGCTCAGCTCCTTAGGTAACTTCCCCTTCTTCCTGCGGATTTGGGAGTGCAAAAATAAAACAAAATTCCAGGCCCATCTCCTTCTCTACTGTTCTTTCTTCAAAACAGGCATGGGGAATCCAGTGGCTGTTGAGAGGTTGGACTGCAGCTCCCAGTATTCCACACCATCCTTATGCTGGCAGGTGCTTCTGGAGTTGCAGTCCAGCAGCATCTGGAAGGCTGCCTGAAGCCTCCCCTTGATTTTTTAAAAAGTGACCAGCAGTGCCACCAAACTGGCTTATGGCAAAAATACTCAGTGAAAAGATGAAACATTTGACAAGTGTGAAAGAGAATGATGACAGATACTCTGTGGGGCCGGCCCAGCCATAAGACAGAGTGAGGCATTTGCCTTAAGCAGCAGATTTTAAGCGTCCCCCGAAGAGCAGCAAATCATCCTTGGTTTCCTCTTGTGATATTGCATTTTAATAGTTGAAGGTAGTAAAAAGTGTGGTGGGAATTTCTGACTCCACTGACTTTTGAGACTGGTGCATCTTGACTTGGGGCATAGCCAGCATTGCCTGCTCTGCTTCAGGTGCCAAAACATTTGGGGTTAGCCCTGATCTTTTTCATTTTTCACACCAACCCCATTCTCTCAATTTTTATGAGCAAAGAAGAGACAAAAGTGGGGTGTGTGGGATGGTGATTTGGTTGGGAGAGAGAAAGCTTGGGGGAGTTACTCTTTTGGACTACAACTCCCAGCATCCCCCGCCAGCATGTTGCCTGGGGGATTCTGGGCATTGTAGTCCAAAGGGTCTTTCCCTCCCCTCGCAGGGCCTGTGGTAGTGTGGGAAGTGTTAGTCTTGCATGTTTCCCTCTCTCTGCTTCTCTGCCTAGACCTTGCTGACCACAAGCCTGAGATCATCTTGCGAATGGAGCAAGGAGAGACGCTCTGGGTGAGCAGATGTCCAGATGCCAAGACAAGAGAGGGGTTGAATCCAGACTTCCCAGGTGTGTCTCAAGGGTGCTGGTCAATTGAACTGGGCCTTTGGGTCTCCCCAAAGATCCTTGTCACTGGCCATATAGGCTGGGTTGGGGGATTCTGGGCATTGCTGTCCAAAAAAGGACCTTTCTCAAGCCTTGAGCTTGCGCTTGATCAATTAACTTGCAGACTTGAAGGGCCAAAGACACTGAGCCTTGGGAAGAGGGAGCTTCCCCTGCTTGCTTCTACCTCTTGGCTTCTCTGAGTTGGAAGGATCCTAGAGGTCATGTAGCCCACCCCTTACTCCATGCACATTCTGCCAATGTAGAGCTGGAGTGAACTACTGTATTATTTCTGGGGACCAATGGGCTGCCCCTAGCCGTCTGGGGGCCACACGGACAAATATTTTTAAAAGCCCACAGATTATAAGGGTTTTTTTTAAATTGGTATTGTTAAATGGGGTGTGTGAAAGCTGTTTAAACCTCCAGGAAAGGGGTGTGATCAGCCATTTTGGTGGGATATTTGGATTGAAAAAAATTGAGGTGGGAGGGCAGTTCATATAGGGAGAGTCTCCTTTTGGGATCTTGTGGAAGGATGATATAGCACTGAGCTCCTGGTAATGTGAGTTGTACCTAAAAATTGAATTAGGTCTCTTGTTGCAGGGCTTGGTGAAATCCAGATTAAGA